CTTGGTTATGCCTAGGTTAGAGGCCTGTGTCTACATAGGGCTCTATAATAGTACTAGGCCTAGTAGGCCTTAAGCCTAATATAGGAGGCTAGTAGTAGAAATAGTGAATTCAAATATGGGCCTGCACCGAGGTAATAGAACACCAGGGAGGTATTATTAGGGGGACCCACTATGACACTCAAAGTAGGGAGCCTCTTGGCAATTCTAAATACCTAGACCCTTCACCCCTAAGCCAGAGGCCCGGCTTTTTCCCACACATGATCGAGCCGAAAGATGTTCATCTAGGCCTAAACTAGGCAATATGCCGGGGGCCTTGGTCTATAGCCCTAGCTTGACTGAACTTTAATGTTTTTTAAAGCATTAGAGTTAATATAAGTCTAAAATTTTAGAGAAAGACGTACTATTTTGAATCAAAAAACCCTGTAAATGCGTGTGTTTACAGTCATAATTCGGATGAATTCCAAAATGGCGTATTTAGAAATTGGTTTAAAAATCTACGCTGGTTCCCGGCGTTTGAAGCTGTTCCAGTATAGTAATTAAACTGTTGTAATCTGGTTGTATATACAATATACAGGACGGCATAAGCCAGATTAGGATTATATAACCCTCGCATATTGCATTTTACAAGGACAGTCACCAGTCCTATATATATGAATATGATGACAGTAGAATAATGGGGTGTTCTAGATCAGGTTGGATTAAGAGGATTCCAAACTGGACAAATTACAAAATGTAGCTCCTTTTTCTCCCCCTTTTTGGTTGTTATATAAGAACTATGAAGCATTGCTTCGTTTGATTGTAATATATATTTTCTATCTAATTTATCCTTAACCAGAATCGGCACCACCAATAGTTTTCGTGTGCAGTGACTCGCTATTAAAACTTTACATTGGAACAAACAGTTTGGGAATTTTTGGTAACGTCACCCACTTTTCCATAAGATACGCGAGAAAAGAGCAAAATGCCAACAATGGGACATGGCAACTGGTGAAGCTAGGTTCAAAAAATGGTTCTGCCACTTGGATTGGAGACAATCTGAGAACAGATGAATCATACAACTTCCAGGTACGATCTTTAGATAACATTCCGCAAGCTCTTAGAATAACTTCTAGGCATTCCGACTTTTCTCTAAAGTCATTGGAGTACATTCTTTTTTCAAAACTAAAGCCGAAGGTTGTCTGATACTCAGATGCCATCTTAAATAACGTGATACTTTTATCAGCGAAGCCCCTTTATAAGGGTTAGGGATTTTGATTGTTTTTAGTCGTGAGAAAAGTCTCTTTTTTATTATTATTTCTTCATATCACATTTACAAGACGTACAGATATAATAAAAAAGAAAGGAAAGTATGTTATATGCATAGAAACTAAACGGTGAAGCTTAAACAAAGAACATTATTTGAAAAATAATAATATAACAATTTAAAGTAAATTAACAAATTTTGACCATTCTGCGTCGAAAAATTAATTGCTTTTCTTTCTGTAAAGCCACGTATCTTAAAACATTTAAATAATTTTTAAGGTACAAATTCAATGCTCTGATATTTGGAATCGTTTTGCCTACTCTGCATTTATAAATTAAGTATTTTGTAACAATAATAATAGTATTTACCGAAAATTTTTTTTCACAGAATAAAATGGACTCTAAATTGAAAGATATTTTTCTAAACGCTTTTGATAATTTCTGTTCAATGTTTGACCATATTGGTTGAACGTATTTAAGAATTAAGAACAAGTGAGGAATCGTTTCAGGTACGCTATGACAAAAAGTACATTTCACATCCCGAAATATTCCAATTTTACATAAAAATACATTTGTGGCAATTATTCTATGATTTATTCTGCATTGGAACCACTGTAGATGGTTTTGCCCTAAACATTTAAAAAGCATGGGCAGGGTATACATGCGTTGCAATTCCTCAATTGCCTTGTTTATCTCGATTTTTTCTTTCCATTTTATCATGCTTTTAGGAATAATTAATTAGAGGTTTTAATAAGTATATTGACATGAAATGGAATTATGGTGCGCATGATTTAGTTGATTGAGATACAAAATACTTGTGTTTTATTGCATTAATAAGACCTTGATACTGCAAAAAATTACATTTGCTATAATAGTGTTTCTTAAAATGTTCCCATATCATCAGGGCATTGTTATCTTAACTTAATAAATCTTTTATGTAAATTATACCCTTTTCATACCAACTCTTGTAAAACACTACTTTATCATGTATAGTTATATAACTATTTCCCCATAGACCTGTACTTCAGATACCGTACTGTTTACCGGATATTTTTTTTCTATTTAATTTGCACCACATTAAATTCCTGGTGTCACAGGAATTGCACCCAGGACCCTAGTATTAGTGGACAAGCACCTTAACCACTAAGCTATTCAACTCCACTGCACTGTATTCATTATTAAAAAAAACCTTTATTGCTTTAGGCATCCTGCTACATATTATAGATCGGTTTATAGAACAACATATAAAATAACGTACTCTATACGCACAGATCCAACCCTAGGCACTTTACAACTGACTCAAACGTAGTGGAGCTGTGGTTAACCTAGAAAAGCTTGTAGGTCGCAGCTAATATATACACTGTACAATATATATCTTTATAAGTATGTGTGTATTAGTATATACCTAATAACGATTTTATCTTTTGCATCAAGGTCAGAGCTGTAAACAGTCTAGGTGCGGGCCGGTGGAGTAAGACACTTTCTGCTATATCACGGAATGGTAAGCAAAATGTTCACTTACATAATCATATAATTAACAAAGTATATAATCATTTTTGAAAACAAAATAAAATATGATAATACATACTTGATCACACAGTCGATTTACAAGTACATTAAAAGAGATCTGCAATTTTAAATGTGGTGTTTACAACCAGCAGGTCAAGCATGCAGGACTAGAAAATTAGCAACATCCAACTTTTTCTAAAGATATGTCAATTAAATAAAAATGACTAAATTGATGCTGATTGTGTCATTGTTAATGCATTTGACGAAATAAATCTAGTTTTCTAACACTGAAGGTGTGTACCGAGTATATTATAGACGTAGATGTATCGACTTATGAAGATATTGATGGATCAATTGAGGGATAAATGATAGTAGGGAGGTTTCGCAAGCTTACGAAAACGAATACTGTTACGTCATTAAATGTTTAGTCAACCCGGCATCTCCTAACATGGCATATTCTTCACAACGTAGACCATCCCTGCCTTTAAAGTGAATCAGCGTGTACTTAAACCTAGTGAATTATACTGAAAGTGGTATTGTCTCTCTGTGTACTTAGCGATCCTCAGCGGCCGCCGAAGGTCTCCAAGGGCCTTATACGAATTGACTTGTTCATGATTAAAAAAGGACCATATTTTTTGCAAACCCCTTATAACTGTACTAACTCGCTATTATACCTCAACATGTTCCACTAGGCGCAGGTTGATCTGTTTAAATGTACCTTGAACAACTACGTACCATCTTATGTAACTATACTACTATAATGATGTATATCTTTTTTCTTGTAAGGTGGAAATGCGAACTTCATTGGTATCATATGTACTGCTCTTGTCCTTTTAATTTCGTTAGTTATCAACGCTATCTTTTTGATCATCTGCTGGTAAGTTTCACCTTACTTACAGTATCCTGTATTCTTTACACTGCGTATCATTTTTGTGTTTCTCTGGTTTCAATAATATTTTATAATAATTATAATATTAATATTTATAATTTGTGTATTTATTATTTTCATTTTGGTTATTATTTGGACATAATTCAAAACTTTTTATTTATATTCCTTTGAGTAAAATGCTCAGTTCTCACATATTTATGTATATTACTGTATATATAGTGAATGTATATATAGTGAATGTAATGTGTATTTAGTAAAGAAACAGTGCCTCATCAATTTTAACTTTCCCGAATCATTTATACTCTAAATTGTGCTTGAATAATTAAATTTAAAAAAATACTTTCCCTCTAACCTTACTCTACGTTAGCTATTGAGCCTAAATAGGCCTACCGGTATTATGCAGAAAGATAACAAACTTAAATGGTAACAATTACGAATTATTTGTTATTCTGGGTATTCCATTAAGTCAAAAAACATGGTTGTCGTTTCAGGATAACGCGACATGTTCCTAATGATACTGAAGGCCCCGAGCATAGCACAAGAACTGCTTCAGAAAAACACAAGTATAGACGTGCACAGAAAAAAGTAGAAAGAGAAGTGATCAATAGTAATGCCGCAGAAAGTATCTATGAAGAATTGGATAATCCAGACGTTAACTTTTATATGTAGTGGATCCTCGTTGAGGATCCACTTCATAATAAAAATATGGGCAGTGTATTTTTTTTATCCTTACATATAATAATTAAACAATATGCTTTGACGATCTCCCGTATTGCTGAAATGACAATGAGATAAATGTTCATTTTGGTTTATTTAAATAAATAAACAATAAACACTGATGAAAATTACTCTGTTCATGCGAAACGTAATACAGTAGTAATAAAATAATATCAGATAAATCTTAAATGCGATTTAATAGTTTTACTATATCGACTTTGTACTTTAATACATTTAATACATGATACTTACAATATAGGCTCTATGCCAAAATTGCTTAAAACTCTAGAAATGTAATTGATTAATTGTAGTACAGATATAAATACCTAGCGGTCCCCAGTTTTTAAGGACTTTTTCTTGTAAAGGGACCACTGTTAATAAAATAAAATACGGTAATCTAGGGAGACACTAATCACAAAAGTTTAAAAAACATATACATTGCGCCTCACATAGAATATTTTCCTCGCCAATTATTAATAGACGCATAATAATCGCAGTGGTCTACAAATCTATTTCAGAATTCACTGAAAATATTATAAGTACAGTATAGGAAAGCTTGCATTGTAGGTTAATAAAGATGAGTTACACTTCGATTATACTTGTGTACTGTAGATGAATAAATTGTCTACAATTTTATCTTCCACAATGTTCACATGTACCACCGCTACTTGGCCTGCTTACGTTGCTAACGGTTGCGTATGGTGATTCGAAAGCTAAGTTCTCATAAATTGGAACATTAACCTCCACCGATTCTGTATCGTCCAGACAAGCTATGGGATTTTCATTAGAAGTGAGCATACGCAAACAGTATATAATCCACATAAAACCCTGAGAAATCACAACGGCAGCGAAGAGACATACAATTGCAATGATTGCCGTCAAAAAGTCGTCATCGTAGTTGGCAAGATCGTAGATGTAAGTTTCGCCATTGTCATTAGTTCCGCCGGCCAACCAGTAAACAACATTGAAGAAAACGTACAAAAGCCCGAACCAACATGTAAAATGAAAGTGTACAAAGTGAACAGGCGTTGCCAACAGTAAAAGTTCAATCACACAAAGAACTGATGGAACGGCTGTTACGTGGATGATGTCTACATACTCAAATTCGTCTGATGGCTTATTATAAGAGTCTAAAACATACACCGAAATCCAATAGACTGCAGAAATTATGAATGAACTGTTACATGAAATGTTGAAGAGAAGCCACTGTGTTTTCTTGCTCGCCGGCGTCTTGTACTTCCTGCGTCTTTTTACAGTCATGCGCTGAAATGCATGAGGCTGGTTGAATATTCCTGTAAGGTGATGGTGAAACTATAATTAATTATAATATAAAGCAAAAGCAATAAAATCATAGGTGGATTCAATGGGGTGCCCAGCCGCCCCCACCCACGCAAAATCTCATATCCCCGACCATGGAGTCTGGACCTCAATCTGTATCTGTGCTTTCTAAACTCCTCTCTTTCTAATTCCTGGACCTACCACTGAAAATAGTATTTGTTTAGGTATTAAGAAAAATAAATTTGGTCAAAGTTTGAGCACTAAACACAATTAGGCATACTGCTAGATTTCTTGTTAAAACCACCATTATTCGATTGCCTGCCATCATCCTGGGCCACTAGGCCAATACACCTATCAATCAACATTGTTATAGCCTTAGGCCATGTTTCGGATATTTTTGAAATTTAAGTATTGAAAGACTTTAATTATCCTTTTTGAAACATTTAAGCAATTCCAACCATGTTCCAACTCACTCTCGTTGACCTGACGGCCAATGGTTCCCGGACCACTGACATTACTTCTAGTTGAGGCGTTGTGTCTGGTTTCATTTTCATCGGCTTCTTCTGTTTTAGACACTGAAAATCTGATACTGTTTAACATAGCTATGATGTTGTATACTGCGAATAATGTTATAGACCAATTGGAGACGTATACAAACAATCGTAGGCCAACGTTGTCCATTTGTCTTACTAGATACAAGACAAGATATCCAGTGTAATAGAAGGCGACAAATAGCCGGTACATGATGTAGACATATCGGTTGCAACAGGAGGGATGCTGCAAGAAAAAAACAACGCACTTTATAAATTTAAGAAAATATAGCCATAGTAAATTATAGCATAAATTATGCATATGGGATATAAACTTACCTTAATTATATTTGTAAAATATATTTTTATTTGAAATGTATGGATTAGTATATACGAAATAGGCAAGCGAACAGTGATAACGACTAATAATTATATAATATAGTAATGACTACTGTTATATAGGCCTAATTCTAATGGTAAAATAATAATGAGAATAACAATAATTGGAGAGCCGATATCCCGGAACAACGGGCCATATGGCATCATCACTATGCACTCTTCCAAAACAATAGTATATTGCTATTCATCATGAATAATATATGAACAGTAATAGAATTTACAAATGTATTGAATGTGCAAGCTTGTTATCGGTGGCATAAAATTTGAGCCATCCCGACCCTCGGTTATTTCCGGCTCTGTTTAGGAAACTCGGCCTGGACATTCACTATAACAATATGTATAGACGAGAATTCACTGACAGATTCACACGGTATACTATCTGTACCTTTGATCATTTATTTTGAAATTGGTGCCATAAAAATATTTGTATATAATTGTTATTATTATAAAAGTGTGAAGAATTTCTTGGGACTGGAGTTACTCCACCTAGACACATCACAATTTCAACTAAATGTGTTTGTCAATTAAATGCCATTTTTATTGTATCAGCTGTTGACTATTAAGACCCTTATATTTTGAGGACACAAGGTATGTAAACAATGTGGTAATTACATAAGTTATATGCGTACGTTATGCAGTATTTAGTTACAATATTTTTCATATTGTTTGTTTATTGAAAGTATTTAAATTAGTTGTCCAAGCTGACAATGCATCAAGCTTGCATCTTGTTCAGTATCTTGTGTAGGATCTTTGATCTTGCGAAACTAGGTTTGGAAACTAGTTTTCTGGAATGTGCTTTTACTATATATGTATTTATATATTATATGTATATATAAACTTTAAACGGTGGGGAAGAACAATCTACGTGTGTGAAAAAATCGATTGGTACCAGAGTTTCATTTGTACATGTGAATAATATAATATAGGTATAT